TTCATGACAGTTTCAGTTATAGTACTTGTTTTATTATGAAATAAGAGATGGTTTTAGGAGCCTTTTATTGGAAAGACAATTGTATCAAATTAGTACCAAATTAGATTTTTGTCTTTATAAAGGTGAGCAAACCCATGAGCAGTTTTTAAATTGATGTGTTCTAGTCTACAGATGAACAAATTCTGTTTGAGGGTTAAAGAAGCTATTATTTTGTCCTTTATGCCGACAGCTCCATTACAGATTGGCCGACTGTTGGCATTAAAAAAATGTTTGGCTCCTTACGATCTTTGTGCATGCAACTGTAATATTAATGCAGCACCACAGTCCTGTTCATTAAGAAATGACTTTAAATGAGGTTGAAGCTGGTAAATTTGGAAAGATACAGATGTTAAATGCAGTCATTTCTCTTTGTATACAGCCGTATGGCTAATAATTTCCAAGTGGCTAAAGCTCTTGTTAGCAAGAGTGCTGGTGTGTTAAGAATGGCTCTATAAATAACTTTAAGAACTGAAGTTGAAGGTGCTTCTTTTAAAGACTATTGTTAACTAAACATTATTGCCAAACAGATGGAAAGCATTCACCGGCCTGATGTTTTTAGGCCTAATTACATTATCACCAGCCCTGTACGGCTCAGTTGAAGAGGTGTATCCAGAGGCCAATTTATAATCATTTAGCCAACACCTGTTTGGGAGAAATTGACAGTCAAAGGGCACATTTAAAAAAAATCACATATGTTCTTGTGTTTATGGCCTCACTGTGAACATCGTCGAGCCGCAGACACACTTGGTAGGAGAAGATGGTGAATGCAAACAAAGCAGCACTTCCCAGCCGTGTTTATCGATCTTAATTTGGCCTTTTCATCTGATCCACTTCATGCTTCACGGCCAAGTGAGGGCAGCAGAAAGAACCACTTCCCGCTTGTGCGCACGGAGTCTTTGCCGTCAGGTCAGAGGCTTCTGGTGGAAAAAGAAGTTCTTTCCTTTGTAACAGTTTCCAAACCTTTTACCCGGTGAAACCTTTGTATTTCGTAGATATATCTGATCTAAATAGGACTGGAATTCTGGTGAGTGGCTTCAAGGAATCACACTTTATATAAACACAGTTGAGACCTAAGGAACCCTACTTGTCTTCACAGACTCAGTGTTCATTGAGTACTTCTTTTGCAGCGGGAGGACAGGGCCCCTGTGCCTCCTTTCGCTCTCATGACGGGTTTAACAAGGTTCAGGTTCTCTGGATGTGTTCCCACGCCATGGAGGTTTGAGACGGGTGGCGAGGGCAGTGCAGAGGGGAATTATGGGGGAAATAGAATTGGCCTCGGCTCTCTGAAAGTAGTTTGAACCTGATGATGCTACCAGCCCTTTGTTTTCGGTGTTTTTCCTTCTTTGGGCATATTTCTCTATTCATATATGATATATATGTATCACCTCCATTTTCTTACCACCCATTATTAACCCAGAGGATTCACCAGTTTACTGCATAACGCAGTATTAAAAGTTACCTATGGCCCTGGCTGGTATAGCTTGGTGTTTGGGCATCGTCCTCTGAACCAAAAGGTGGTGAGTTCGATTCCCAGTCAGGGTGCATGCCTGGGTTGTGGGCTGGGCCCCTGCACTGGGGCACATGAGAGGCAACTGATCCATGTTTTTCTCCCTCTCTTCCCTCTTCCCCTCAATAAAAATAAACAAATAAATAGTTTTTTAAAAAGAAAAGGGGTTACCAACGACTTCTTAACTGCCTTAGACAGTAATCCCTTCTCATTTTCTCGTTCTTCATGGCTTCCGTTTGGGGGTTTGTCATAGATGACAACTCTTATTGTGAAGTACTTTCTGTCCTGACGTCTGCACCACTGTTTTCTGCCTTCCGAACCGCTGTATTTTTTGGTTTTCTTCATATTTATCTCACTACACGTTTGGTGGTTATTATCTGTATACCCTCACTATTCCAACTATGGAGAATCTTCAACATTTAGACATGAACAGTTTAGTTTAGCAGTTAAAGAGGGGAGAACCCTGAAGCCAGACTGACGGAGCTTCAGTCTCACCTCTGCTGCTTCTTCGACTCAGGAGCACAGGCAGGTCAGCAGGTTTACGTTTGGCTCCTTATTGGCGGAACCGGTGACAGTGCAGCTGCCTCACTGGGCCGTTGGAGTGCATCCCGTGGGCTGCTTCTGCAGAACCCGGCGTGGTGCCCGGCACAGAGTGCGCAGGTCAGTGGCCGTGCTCTCAGGTCTCCCTCTGTTACCTTCACGGAGAAGGAGCAAATAGGGATCTTCAGTTTCAGTGTGTTTTCCGAGCTCCGCTCCCGTGTCGCCATCTACCTTCCACACTTTTATACCTGAATTTATTCACTCGGAACCTTCGCTGTGGGAGACTCACGGGTCGGAGGAAACACAGCATCTGCCCCCTGCAGTTTTTTATTGTTGCCATAACAAACCACCACGTACTTAGCAGCTGAAAACAACCCATTTAATTGTCACATTGGCTAGGTGTCTGACATGGGTCACGTGGGGCTAAAGTCAAGGTTCTGTTAGGATTGCAGGGCAGCGTCCCTTCCTGGAGGCTCTGGGGAAAAAGCCACTTTCGTGCTCATTCAAGTTGCTGGCTGAGATCTTTCTTGTGTGTGGGTGGGTAGTTGTAGGAGTCTTCCTTGCGGGCTGTCTGCCAAGGGCTGGTCTTTGCCCGTAGAAAGCCTGTTCCTTCTCATGCTCTGAGCCCCCAGAGGCCTCTCTGCTTACACGTGGGCCCTGTGTCAGGGCAGCCGCCGCACAGCCCTGCCAGACCTCGGACCTTTGGGATTTCCTCTTCCGCTTTATCATTGCTGTGCTTTCCACTCTGGCTAGAGACCATTCTCTGCTTTTAAAGGTTCATGTGATTTGATTGAGCCCACTCAGAGAATCCAGGATAATCTCTTTTATGGTTTGTACCTTCATTATACCTGCACAATCCTTTTTGCCAATAGTACAATATTCACAAGTTCTGGAGATTAAGGGACAAACATTTTTGGCAACCATTATTCTGCCTCCAACATGCCAGTAAAAGGCTGGAAATCTGATTGGGAGAGAGACGTAAACATGAAACCAAACTGAGGGCTTAAAAATGGTATCGTAGAAATTGGTACTGTGTACAGTGTGAGAACAACAGAAAAAAGTCTGTTACTAAGAGACAGACATTTGAGCTGAATATGGAAAGATGAGTACTTGTTTGGTAAGTGGCTAGGGGAGCATTTTAGGGAGAAGAAGCAGTAACGGTGATAGCAATAGTAATAACTGGCTATGCCGAGCACTTTTACAGGATTACCTCTCACTGAAATTTTCACATATGGTAGATACCATTATTACTGGCCATTATAGCTTCTACAGCTGAAGCTATAATGTCTTCACAGTCGGAATAGAAATGGTAAGATCATCTCATCGGGCAGTTGGAAGAATTAACACTGATTACTCCTGGTCAAAGCCTAGCACATGGTAGACACTTAAACCTGGTGGTGGGAGAGCAGAGGGTGGGTAAGAGAAACGCTTAGGAGGTAGAACCAACTGTCTTGGGTGCTGGTTATGAAGGTAGGGGGCGGGGACTTTGGGAACTTTTGATTTGGGGGGCTGGTCTATGGATGGTAGTATTATTCAGTGTTAGAGGAGGAGGAACAGGGACTTATTTTGTTTTTAGTGGGGACAGGGCTTTGGAAAGAGGAAAGGGTGAGTTCAGGAGGTGTCTGCAGGAATAGTCATGGAAATTAAATGGAGACTTCATAAGTAGGCAGGCACTCAGAAGAGAAGCCAAAGATGCTGTCGTTGTTACATCAAACACATCATTTCTAAAGTGGAATTTACCATCTTCTTCTCAGACTGGTTTCCCATCTTAACTCCCCATTTTTTAATTTTCCCAAGCTTGACAGTTTTTTTCATCCTTAACTTGCAGTTCTGTGGAGTTGGGGAAAAAAATCCCTCTTTCAGTGTTTGCAGATTTCTGTGGTGTAAGTATTCCTGTCATGGCCATTTCAGGGGGGGCTACTTTTGGGCCAAGGTGCGTTGCTGTGGCAGGGACCGCATGGGCCCACAAAGCCAAGAGTATTTACTGGCTGCATCTTTATAGAAAAATTTGCCACCCTCTGGTAATAATGTCTCCAAAATAATAAAATATTAGTATGGTAAGATAATTTCGCATCTCTCTCTATTTCTATCCATTAAAATGGTGAGGGAGGGAGTAGGTTGAGGGGGCTTTGTGTGAGATCACAAAGGGTCCTGGGATCATTTTTTGGACTTTGACCTTTTCTTTGAATGAGAGGAGTGACATGATCTACTTCTGTTTAAAAAGAACACTCTGGCTGCTATTTGAGAACAGACCAAGGACAAAAGACGGGAGCGGAGGGATCTGTGGGGAGGTGATTGTCATAATCCAGGTGCGTCTGTGTTTGGATCGGGGAAATAGCCGTGGATGTGGTGAGGCGGGTTCAGCTTCTCGATACATTTTGAAGTTGGAGCCGACGGGATTTGCTGATGGAAAAAGAGGAGGTAGGATGAGTCCAGGATGGGGAAGCAGTACCTCAGGGATGCCTGGCACTGGAGCCTGAGCTACCGAGATCACATTGTCGCAAGTGGCTACATTAGGGGCTTCGGGGAGAAACTTGAGAGCTCAACAGCTTCTGTAAAATATATATATTTATGTTTTTCTTCTTAACCATACATGTTGCATGAGGAAAAATTCTTTCTCTAAAATAATTTTTCCTTTACTTTTAAGGAGTATATTTTAAAATAAATCTGGGAGACATGGTAATGTTTCAAAAATATGGCATTTTTAGAAAGGAAACCATAATAAACCTACTTTCGATTAAGACTATTTTCAATCCTGTGATTTGGTGCCTTTAAAAAATCTATTCAGAAATTAACAGTGTTGGTGGAGTCATTTCCAGCACTTTCCCTCAAACCCTTCAAGTGTAGTTTTAAAAAGTTATGAGTTAATGTTTTATTGTATTATGAATAAATTATTACTCATGTTTTTATGTAGGTTTTACTTGTAATGGACACAAGGACAGAACAGACATTCATTTTAAAAGTAAGTAGAATTAGTATGTTTAATGATCTTGAAATTTATTTCAAGTTTTGCTCTGAAAGAAACTATTTAATATATTTTTGGGGGTGTTTGGATGTTCTTTTTTGGATGTTCATTTGTGTTTGTGATGACCTGTACTTTACTTTTTGTCCTTCCATCACAGTTCATAAATACTTGATAGCGTACATTTAAAAAGTGTTTCAGGTAACGGACTGTATGGAGGAGTTGCATTGGAGACTCACCACGTGGTGTTTAGATGGGTGGCGTGCAGTTTAAATGCATCTCTGCCACCTTTTGTATGATGTGTGGAGGCCGCACACCACCTCACTCGTGATGGTGATTGCAGTTCGTGAGTGCTGAAATCTCGCATTCAAGTCTTTGCGTACAGTTATTTGGGAAGCCATTCTGCATTCCTGGTCCTCTTTCTGAGCTCTAGTTTGAGTCTCTGTATAACTCAATTTGTAACTAAATGAGTACGGAAAACCCCTCAATTTTGAAATTGTATTTGAAGTGCATTATGACAGTACATATTCTTTAAAAAAACCCAGATTAAATATTCCAACATTAGTATTAATTTCAGATTAATTTATTTCTTTTTCTGATACTTTAAAACTTTTCTAAAAAGATTTTATTTATGTTTAGATAGAGGGGAAGGAGGGACAAGGAGAGGCAGAGAAACATCGGTTGGTTGCCTCTTGCATGCACCCCTTCGGGGGACGGAACCTGTAACCCACACACGTGCCCTGAGCAGGACTCACCCAGTAACCCTGCGCTTTGCGGGGCGACGCCCAACCAACTGAGCTGCCCTGGTCCAGGCTCTTCTTCTGATACTTTTATTCTGTCAGCGTGGCCGTCGTGGGTCACATCGACTTACACTGAAACAAACTTCTTTTTATGAGTATACTTTATCACTGGCATTTCCCCAGATTTTAAAACCAAGGTATTACAGCAGGGACTATGCAAACCTGGTCCTTTGGAGAAAGCTTGAAACAACATCTGTACTTTTTTGGAATAGAATTTTGAAATTGCCTGTTCAGTCTAGGAATACCTTTTGTGTCCCAGGAACGTGAATCGATCTCACAGTGTCTGCTGCTTTAAAAATACACACAAGTAAAATACAACTTAAGAAAAGGTCATAGAGAAATAACTGTGTGTCATCCCGATGACTTCGTTTGAGAGCATCTCTAATAAAAACACTGACCCACATAATTGATTTTAATGGCAGCTTTGTAGCATCTTCCGTTCTCTGGATTCACGCCAGATGCCATCCGCAGAGCCTCCAGGGACCGAGGGGCATAGAGCAGCAGATGAGTGGTTTCTCTGAAGCCCAGAGTAACTCGGATAGATTAGTTTGGTTGATAAACACAGAGCACAGCAGGCTCCAAAGGCAGCCGAGGGTACATCTGACCTTTTTGTTCTCTGTCAGGGTCTCAGGAAAAGCAGTGAATACAGCAGGAGCAGAAAGACCGTCATCCCCCGCTGCGTGCCCAACATGGTGTGCCTGCACAAGTACATCGTTTCCGAGGAGTCGGTGTTTCTTGTGCTGCAGCACGCGGAAGGTGGGTTGGTGCTCTAAATCGTTTTGGAGCGAAGAATGTCACCTTCGGAGCTTTTTAGTTTTCAGAATGTCCTTCTGTCATTACACGAACAAGTAAACCGTGTGAAACACGTGTGAGAAACCGTTGTCTCATTCCTCTGCCTTCCCTCCCTCATTGGAGTCGGGAGGGGGAGTAGAAATGCAGGTGAGCAGCAGATGTCATTGGAACTGGAGCAACATCCTTGGATACGCACAACTACTTGCCTTCTCCTAGAATCGATCTGATAGGCCGAGAACTTTCAGCTGAGTGTGTGTTAAGAGAGCCCGGTTTCGTTTTGCTGATTTTATTTTATTCTCTTGTGCTCTGCTGAAAGGATACATTAATGTTAGATGACTAACATAAGAAACATATCCTGAAGAATTAATTAATTACCTCCCTTTTTAGGAGGCCTGGGTATTTACCTGACAGTTGACATGCCCCAGTTATTCTAAGCTGGGTTTTTACAAATGCAGCCGTTGGCATCATATATGGGTACAGAGCAAGGGGCACACTACTCTGCCTTCAGACTATGAAATTTCAGCTCTGAGTAGAGGGAACAGGTGGCAAAAGCACTATGTTTTGATTTTTTTTGCCTTTTAATGCCTAAATTTAAAGTTTTTTTTAAAATTTAAAATGACTGATACAGCACATAAATATAAGTTACATTATAAATGCTGCCCTTTGGCTTGTAAGAGGTGTGCTTACAAATGGTGGAAAAAATTAAATTTTCTGTATTTAATGGTGGTGTTATTATTTTCACATTACTGAGAATAATAGAGAACTTTTGTACTTTACTAATAGGCATAGCATTTGAATTTAATGCGTTTCCCAGGAAAATGAGTCATTGCTTTGCAGAACGAGGTCTCTTATAACTAATGCAAGATTTTCGATGGCAATAAACTATTAATATTGTTTACTGTGAAGTACAGCACAAGATAACTGCAGATGGAGGGAAGACCTCCATCTGTGGTACTTAATGGGAAATTCAGAGGGGCCTCCATGGTCTCTCAGGTATTAAGAGAGTTAATTGCGTGTGTGAATTGGATAACTAATTCACCTTTGTTCAGACATTATAGACAGCTTTTATCGGAGGATACCAGTGCATTACAGACATTATTGAATTAGAGGTCATGTCATCTGATAGCGGAATACAGCCACCTCTGGTGTGGAACAAAAATAACTTGCGCAGTAATAATCCATAATAATTTAGAACAAGGTCAGTAGGATGAATGTAATTATAGTCAATATTCTATTACCCAGGGTGGATTATTCACGTTGGAGATTATCTGCGGCAAATTTTCAACCCTGGTTCACCCCCGCTGTGTACAGCTTCCCCGTCCTCTTCTTTCTTCTCCGGGTCATAGGTCAGTTTTTCTTCTGCCATCTTCTCACCTTCCCTTAGTCTCCAAAGCCGATATTCCACTGAATTTACGTCAGCGCTGTAGAGATACTCATAATCTGTCCTAAAGACGTAGACATAATGGTTTTTAAATCTTCCATGGTTTTAAATTACCTTTACCAAGTCTCTTTTCCTTCAGTGTTGACCATGCCTGACTTAGAATAGTCACATGACCGTAGAATTTATGTGTTATTATTTACACTTTAAGGTGGGGAGGGTGTCTCTTTTTACTGTGTGTTAGGTGTCATTTAATTTTAAAGAAGATTTTATAATACAAAGATACTAAATTATAGTGCATATAGGGACTCTGGACTCATTTAACATTAAAGAGCTTTATTGAGAATGAACAAGACAGGGAAAGAGCCTGCCCCTTTGAGACTTGCATTCTTGTTCTGCAGAGTCAAACAGGAAAACAAACAGCAGGAGAATGTCAGATAATAACAGGGACTCTGCTGATCTTTAACAGAGAAAGACATCTAATGGATAAGGACTGGAGGCCTGTTTTAGATTAGGCAGTCAAAGAAGTACCATTTGGATGTAAGGGGATGGGTGCACATTCCAGTACAGGCGTCAGAGTCAGAAATCAAGGCTGAAGCAAACTTGGGATGTTTGAGAAACAGGCCAGGAGGCCACTTGGCTGGAGTGGAGTAGGTGAGGGCGCTAGTGGATATGGGGCTGTTGGAGAAGCAGGCAGGAGGCTTCCATGGCAGGGTCAGGCCTCTGACTTCCATTCAAGTGCATTGGGGAGCATGGGACATCGGAAGCAGTGGCTAGGTCTGACTTACATTTAAAAACGTCACTCTGGCTGTCGTATGGGGAATGGGTTATAGAAAGATAAGGATAGAAGCGGGAGAAGGCTAATAAAATAGTCTTAGTCAAGAAATGGTGACAGCATGGCCTTTTGGGACCTATGATGGTGTAAAGGTTGGGACAGAAGAATCCAGGGTCATTTCTTGGATTTGGCTTGAGTGATCAAGTGAGCTAGGTGATGGACAGTGTGGTTTTACATGTTAGCAGTACTGTCTTTGTTACCTCTGTGAATTAGGAGGTTGTGAGTGTATCATATAAATGTCACTTTCATATGTAGGATAAACTATTACTGAAAAAGTAAATGAGCAATTTTTTTGCCATAATATGAATGTTTGAATATTTATTTGTGGTGTTAGCTTCCCTCTGCTTGCAAAAAAACTGTTCATGATTCACATGAGTCTCTTGACTCGTTTTCTGTAATTCATCCAGTCAGAAATGTATTGCGTGCTTACTGGGTTACAGGCCTGGTTCTGTAGTAGGTGAAGACTGCCCATGTGGAGCCGATATTATAGAGGCGAGACAGACAGTCAGCAAATACGTAAGTGAATATATGTCAGACAGAGAAAATAACAGAAAGGAGGAATGCCAGAAGGGTGAGGCAGTAGTTAGTATTTTATGTACAGTGGTACCTTATTAGGAAGGCACGTTTGGCCAGTAACCTGAAGGGGGTGAGAGAGGGCACACGTGGATACATGAAGGATCAATATCCTGGTAAGAGAGCAGTACATAGGCCTGGAGGGAGAGTGTACGTGGTGTACAGGAAGCAGCAAGGTCTCTGTGGCTGGAGCAGAATGGGAAGAGTGGTGGGCAGTGAGCCTGGAGAAGTGGGGAGGTGGGCGCGCAGATCCGGTGCGGTTTTGTAGACCACTTTGAGAACTTGATTTTTATTCTGAATTGGTAGATAGTCACTGGGGGACACTGAGCAGAGGAGTGACAAGATAGGGACCACTCTGGCTGCCTTGTGGAAGGTAGAATATAGGAGGGCAAAGGCAAAAGCAGAGCAGTTTGGAAGTTGCTGCCGCAATCCAGGTGAAAGTGAAGGGGTGTGGGCAAAGCGTTAGTGGGGGAGGTGGTGAGAAATGGTTACTAGATTATGAGTATATTTTGAAGACAGAACTGATGTGATTCTACCTGGCGTGACTCCAAGGCTTTGGCTCAGCTGAGAGGACGGAGTGTCCATTCACTGAAGAGGGGAAAGCTGTGGGCGAGGTTGACGCAGAGGCAGCAGTTGGGGGTTCAGTTTTGGACATGTGAGTTTGAGGCGCTCGTTAAATCCAGGTGGTATTGAGTAGTATATACCAGATGAGATTTTAGGAGAGAGGTTTGAAATGCTTGTTTCCATTAATGAATCTCGTATTTTAACTGTGAGGAAGAAAAGGTGGAAAAATAATTGTATTCAGCAAAGGTCATGAGTATTTATAAAACTTTGTAAGTTCCTAAGATTATGGATTAAATCATCCATCATGTACACCCCTGCATTGAGCAGAATGCTTAGTACATGGAAGGGGCTCAGTGTGTGATTATTGAGCAGTGAGTCAGAGAAAAGGTGAACAAGCCAGTTAGAAGGAAATGATTGGAAAGCCTCTGAATGTGGACACGCCACATAGATTGGGAATGGGAAATAATTTCTCCGCAAGCTATTTGGGGCCCAAGGGGTGAAATGGTTCTTTTCTTATTAACTAGTTGTAAAAATTTATAAAACTAATAGATAAAGAAATGAATTTGAACTATGTAGAAGTATACAAAGTAAATTAATATTCTCCCACCCCGTTCACTGTAATGCCCAGTTTCATTCTCTAGAAATGGGGGACATTTCCTGTGTATATAAACACATACTCCCTGCCCATCTGCTTTTAAAAAACAAATTGATCTTGAACATTGTTTTGTAACTCGCCACACTCCCCCATCTTAAAAGGAAAGCATCTTGGACCGCTTTCCTTTTCAGTATATACAGGTCTACAGTGCAGTGCGGTGATGAAAAGCAATGACTCTGGAGCCTGGTTCACCATTTACTAGTTAGTTGTGTGACTTTGGACAAGTTAGCCAACCTTTTTGTACCGCTGTTTCCTTATCTATAAAGTAGGGATGATAATGATCCCTACTCATAGGACTAATATGAGGATTATATAGTTGATATGTATAAAGTACTTAGAGCAGGGCCTGGCACTTGGTAAATGAGATGTAAATATTTGCAAATAATGCTCTCAATTTTTTAATAGATACAAAGTATTTGGCTGTGCAGATTTACCATAACTTATGTAATTGAGTGTTAATTGGTGTTTACATTGTTTCTGGTGCTTTACCCATATATCTTTGTTTGTGAGAAGTATTTGTAGGCAAATTTTTTTGAAGTAGAATTGCTGGGTCAAAAGATGATTTTGATCATTGGCCTAGTAATATTTTATTGTATATATTAATTGAAAATTTTGATTCTGGTCAAGTAAAATTAAAAATTTTTTTGCAACCTTCCAGAAAACCAATAGATTAAAATATAAGAGTTTTTAAAAGGGGTTTTTATTAAACCTTATGTATTTCTATTTTCATAGCTTAAAATAACTAATATCTACTATTTTATATGCTTTAATGGGTCTTAGGTATCATTTGTATTACTGAAGTATTCAAAATTATAAATATGTTAATGTGTTTTCTGTTTATATTTTGTAGTTTAGCCAATAATGGGTTTGTTTCTAAGGTTAATGTTTTTAATGTTACAACAGTAAAACTTCCATTTGTGTAAGTCTGGGTGTTGGGCCTGATATTAATTCTATAGAAAATAAAACCTACTTGGCACAGACTCTGGCCTATAGTGTCTGAGGTGTTATGGATGAGACGAGACAAATTCACATGGACTACTGAGTCCTGTGGAGGAAAAGGGACTGCATGGCCACTCTCTCTAGAGGACAGTGCACCGACCCTTGCCTTGTTGGCTTTAATTTGCATAGGAATACAGGGTGTATATGGAAAGCTCATCAATCAGGCAGTAATGATCAAATAGATAACATTCAGAGAACTCTGAGGGCCTATTTTGAGTCAGGGTCTAATAGCTAAAGGGCCATAAAACTTTGGGGAAACAAACTCATTTCATGCGTCGACCCTTATCATTTATATTGAGAGCATTAGCAAAGCAGGTTTTACAGGATTTTATGCATTCTTTCTTAGGCCTGATCATCCTGGGGAACCTGCCCTTTCCAGCATAGGGCTGTACCCACCTTCAGCATTGTTTCAAGCTTAGGTCAGGCAGGGCAACTAAGGCAGCCAAGAAATTAGACTTCTTGCAGACACAATGAGGACTCAGGCTATGTCAAAGCCGAGGGGTGAGGGTCCATCACTGTCTTTCTCCATAGCCCCCAAGTCCTTTCCCGAGGGTCCCCTTGTGACCATGCCTGTCTTAGGTCGTCCTTCCCTTGAGGAATCTTAACCTGTCATTGGCTAACCAGTCATGCACTGGGGGCCAGGAATGGTGAAGTAAAGTGGGCAGAGGTGGTGCTCCTGCCAGGGGGGTGATGAGCTTTTTCTCTTTAGTGGCTTAGGGTCTCAAGGTCTCTCACTCAGCCTTAGCCATGGGGGGGTTACAGCTTCTGAAACCAGGCAGGGCGATTCCCAACACCTACTTAGATTTTGTGGGTGAGAAACTACAACAGAAATAATGTGTTCTTGTAGGTTAGGTGGTTTCCATGATCTTGTAATTTTTAAAAAAGTGTGTGATAAAACCAAAACATTTGTTTCTGTGGCTCCCTGTTGAGCATTAAATTTAAGTGGGCATGTCGCAAAGAATGGAGAAGAGCTAAAGCAGTTTATTTCTTGCTTGAACATGCAGAGCTTTTATAATTCAATTTGGGTACTTGTTTAGGCTAAGAACACATTTCATAAGGAAAGTGCCAACAGACAAATTTAGAAATTTTACCTAATAATGGAAAGAATGGAAAATAAATAAGATGGTACTTTGACCTACTAAATTGTTAAACTTGCTACTGTCCAATAGAAGCAAGTTGCTGTGAAGGTGGCACTGGTACACACTGCTTATTGGGATAACCTTTCTAGAAAGCAGTCTCACAACGCATGGTAGAAGCATAAAAATATTCATGCTTCGTTTTTTTTTAAAGATTTTATTTATTTATTTTTAGAGAGGGGGAGAAATATCAATGTGTGGTTGCCTCTCATGTGCCCCCAACTGGGGACCTGACTCAAAACCCAGGCATGTGCCCCTACTGGGAGTTGAACTAGTGACCCTTTGGTTCACCAGCCAGCGCTCACTCCACTGAGCTACACCAGCCAGGGCTATATTTAAGATTTTTAACAATAGAACCATATATTTGTTTTAAAATAGGAAGATTGTATGACCAAAGATAATGCTATGAATATTTATAGAACCTTTTCTTTGAAAGATTTTTAAAAAATTGGTAAAATTGTCATCTTTTTTAATCCAGTTAATTAAATATTTATTTAATACCTATTATTCTACATGCTAGACATAATCCTCTCCCTGAAGTTATGCAGACTCTGCCGTCTGGTAAAGAAGATAATAAAAGCATGAAAAGTATTACTAATATGAAATAGAATGCTGTAAATGTCACAAAGAAGGATGAAGTGATATAGAGGATTCAGAGATGATAGGAGTCGTATCCAACAAGGGAATACAAAAAATTGGTAAAAGAAAACAAATTCGGAAGGACCTTCAAGAATGAGTGGGATTTTGACAAGCAGGTATTGGGGAACCTAATAGGAAAGAAACTTCCAGTGGTGGGTGTGGTGTGATCAAACCCCTGGCGTAGGTTATGTGTGGAGAAACCCAGTTCAGAGGGATCATGGGGTTAGCGGGGGGAGAGGACCAACTCATGGGGTGATACTTCATTACTGAGCAGTTCGAATACCTTTTATGGGGCTGGTACATCATTCAGTAGGTTGTGGGGTTTGGGGTTCTTGAATAGAGAAATGATATCATAAGATCTGTGCTAAAATGAAAGATTAATTGGGATGAAAAGAGAAGGAAGACTATGAGAAGAAACATTCTGGGTAGATCTTATAGGAGGACTTGGAAGATTGTTCGATGAAGAAAGAACAAGGGAGAGAAAATAGTCCAGGTTTGGTCCACAGCTTTCCTGCCAGAAAGGCTTGGGAGTCAGAAAGACGAAGTGATTTGGAGGCAAAAATAAAAGAATTTAAGCTTGTTGAATTTTAGATTTCAGCAGCTCATCCAGGTGGAACTGGCCTAGGAATGAATGAAACATTTCTTAGAACTTGAGTTGGTACTGTTTCCTGCTGGTCACTGGAGCATCACAGCTGTAGACACGGTCTACTTTATGTGGATACACCTTGTTCTGATGTGCTGTTGTCCTAGTTAACAAGTAGTGACTGAATGCCTGCCGTGTCGTGCACAGTATACGAGAAATGTCCATACAGAGACTCTGAAAAAGGCTTGGTTCTGTCCTCAAAGTCGTCAGCATCTAGGAGAACTGGAAACAACGGCGCCATTGTCTTGCATTGCGTACGAAAACCCAGCTTCAGGTTCCGGTGTTACTGTTAGTGTGCCCCAGCAGAGGCATTTGTGACCAGAGAAGTGTGGCTGTTGTTGCCAAGAAATGAAGAAAAGATGGAATCATTGCATAAGCTCCTTGTAGGAGTGAGTGTGTTTCAAAACCATGTATGAATCGTCACACTTCGTTTCAATATGGGGCAATAAGAAAAACTAAGTACAATCTAGTGAGGACAGAAAGTTAGCTAAGAAAAATGAGAGGGGAAGGTTAAATGCCATAATGCCCTACACCACTGATTATTATCCAAATGAAAGAAGACTGTTAGCGAGATCCCTGGGGGAGGAGCTGTGGGCTGTGATAGGGTTAGCATTAGGACAGCTGCTCCGTATTGAGCTGTTACTCTCTGCTGGGCACAGTATCGGGGGCTTTATGTACTTGCTGAATTCCTCTGCGTGGAGTGAAATGCAAAGTAGAAAAAGAATTTTGGATGTTTCTATTGACTTTTATACGTATAATGGACTGTTAGTGGTTATATTTAGTTACCCTTGGTATATGATGCTTAAGAACAACATTAAAAATGTACTGAAAAAAAGTAGCCTTCACCATATTAATAGAAAGTTTTATTTTTAACACATTATTTCTTACCTTTGGAAGCTTCAGTTATATCTTCACTAAGTATGCTTCTGCAATTTCTGTTTTTTAAGATTTCTCTATCAAATTTAACTGCTCTTCTTGTAATACTTTTTCTAGTCAGTAGAGTTTTGGGAGGTTTTTGATACTTATCATAGTTTATATATTCAGAGATTCTAATTAGCAAAAGAGGTTTAGTTTTTAGTGGTTAAAACAAAACAAGAAAAATCAGGTGAAATAAATACCTGGCAAGTATTGCTAGTAAAACACTGGATTATTTTGAGTGTATTTGATTTGTATGAGTTATGTGAAATTGATTTTTATGATTTTGGGTTTTATAGGTTTCTGATATATATCAGAATACAAAATTAGAATTAATAGCTTGCCGCCTTAATGGCCATTCAATTAATATTCCTCAGTTGCATTACTTGGGCTCGTATAACACATGATATATTTGGGGAGGGGAGAAAATGGGGAAAATATTAATATGGCACTTACAATGGCATAATTAGATACCTATCTAATCTCTCTGATCCTGGGCTGGGCATTTTCAAAATGCAATAATATTGTTGATTTCCCCCCAGTGAAGTTTACAATTTTAAGCAGCACTTATTGATGAATTTCCACTTGACCAAGGGACCATGCTTGAAAAAATTATTATATAAACAAGTCAGAACACAATCAGATGTTTCTAAGCTAAATTATATTTAACTTTTAAGTAGAAATTCACGTGTAAGATTTCATATTAGGATTTGTTATAATTAACTTCTCTTCAAAGAAAGAAATAGGTTGTCCTATCGGAAATAATTGCTATTAGGACATATGCTTAAAACTGTACCCATCAGTTAGCAGTAACGAAAGACATTTTATTAAAATGCTTGCCTTTCAGCATGCTGGATATTTTAATGGATGGGTATCAATGACTAGCTGTTAATCGATTATTAGAATACTTTTTTGCTTTTCTAATGGTTTCAATGAGTAACCATTAATTTGGGGATGTTAATTTTTTTTTTTTTTGGTTATACTTATTCACAGGTGGCAAACTCTGGTCATACATCAGTAAATTCCTAAACAGAAGTCCTGAAGAAAGTTTTGACATCGAAGAAGTGGACAAATCTGCACTTAGTAAAGTTCACCTGCTACAGCCGACTTGCCGTCCTCAGGACAGCAGCAGCTTCGAATCCAGAGGAAGTGACCGGGGAGCCATGCTGCAGGCCCTGCCCCTGGAGACGAGTCTGACTCAGAGCTCCCAAGACGGCAGCAACCAAGACGATGACGGCCAGGATAGCTCTCCAAAATGGCCCGATTCTGGCTCAAGTTCAGAGGAAGAATGTACTACTAGTTATTTAACGTTATGCAATGAATATGGGCAAGAAAAGATTGAACCGGGGTCCCTGAGTGAGGAGCCTTTCGTGAAGAGCGAAGGAAATGGTGTTGGTACCAAAGCTGTCGAAGGCTTCCCGGCACCCCTCGCGGCCCACAGTGACAACCTTGGCTCTCAGCGGATGGCTCGCGAGCTGAAGCTCTTCCCTGCAAAGGACGGCCTGGATGCAGTTAGTTCTCCAAGGACGTTCGATCCCCTCAGCAGATCGAAAGACAGCTCCATGGAGTTCTTTAGGATAGACAGTAAGGATAGCACCAGTGAACTCCTCGGACTTGATTTCGGAGAAAAAATATGTAGTCTAAAGTCAGAGCCTTTGAAACCGTTTTTTACACTTTCAGATGGAGACAGGAGTTTCAGCATTAGTGAAAGCAGGGTTATAGCTCAGGACACCATTAGCAGAGGCTCAGATGACTCTGTCCCAGTTATTTCTTTTAAAGATGCTGCTTTTGATGATGTCAGTGGTCCTGATGAAGGAAGGCCCGATCTTCTTGTGAACCTCCCTGGTGAATTGGAGCCAACTAAAGATGGTGCAGCCGTGGGGCCTACGAAGTTTACACAGACTAATATAGGCATCATGGAAAGCAAACTCCTGGAAGCCCCTGATGTTTTATGCCTCAGGCTTAGTGCTGAACAGTGCCAAGCAAAAGAAGAAAAAGGCTCAGAGGAATTGAGTGATCCCTCTAGTCTTCCGTCCCATGGTGTAACAGAGAAACACTATGCCCAGGGGGATCTTGGGATGCTATTTGTAGCCGCTGTTGACCCCAGTAGTTCAGGAGACATGTCCTTGTCACGCAGCTCAGATCCTAACTTTCAGGGACTTGGAGTGGTTGCGTCGGCAGTGGCCGCAGACAGCACAGCAGAAAGCTTATTCCCGGTTTCTGACCCACTCTCAGGTGCTAATGAATATGCAAACACAGACACTTTAAACACTGAAGAAGTATTGCTGTTTACAGATCAAACCGATGATTTGGCCGAAGAGGAATCGACTTTATTTCGGACAGACTCTGTGACTAAGGGAGCAAGTGGGTTAGCACAAGGAGACAAGGAGATACATCAGATTTTTGAGGACCTAGATAAAAAATTAGCACTGAACTCCAGGTTTTACATCCCAGAGGGCTGCATTCAGAGATGGGCAGCCGAAATGGTGGTAGCCCTTGACGCTTTACACAGAGAGGGAATTGTGTGCCGCGATTTGAACCCAAACAACATCTTATTGAATGATAGAGGTCAGGAACTTTTGCAAATGCATTTCTTTTTATTCGCTGTTGCTTCCAATTAACTGAGTAGGCGTTTTATCTTGTAATTAGTATCTTCATTTCCTATCTAGAGCTTCATTATCAGTGCAGCAAATTCACCCCCAGTAATAGCTTCTAGTACTTAATGATGCCATTATTCTTAATGATACTGTTTTTAGCTACAAAAGGAGTAATTACAGTTCACTTCTGCAGAAAATGGAAGAGAAAAATGTTTTGATTTCTCCTGTCGTTTTGTTTTTAGGACACATCCAGCTAACGTATTTCAGCAGGTGGAGTGAGGTTGAAGATTCCTGTGACAGCGACGCCATGGAGAGAATGTACTGTGCCCCAGGTCAGCGCCGTCTCCTACACGGCTTCCCTTGACAGAGTTCTTCCTCGGCCCCCGTTGCTCTGGGGAAGTTGGGATTTTCACCGGCAGTTTACCTGCGTGTTGGCTTTGGTTATCTCTTTAATCCTTCAAAGAAGGATTCTGAGGGGGTGAAACCATTATGTAGTTTATAGTTTTGTATGTGTGTTTGTTGTTGAATGGGTTTGTACTTCCTGTGGAAGCGTTGAGGTCTTAGAGACATCTTAACTTCTGACCGTTTAAAGACCTTTAAACACCCTGAACCTCTTTGAGTGGATGATTTTTATTAAGATGTGAGAGGCAGTTGTCTTAAAGGGTAAAATTTCTGAGGCTAAAAATATAGAAAAGTATGGAATTAAAAAATATATATATAAGGTTGTGATTTCAGTGATGAGCCAACCTGGCATTTTAGAGCAGATTTAAAGTTTCTTTTTCTGTATTCGAGAAATTTTAGGAAGCATGTTATTCTTTTAAAATAGCCTATTTTGCCAAATATTTGATATAACAGGTTTCTCTTCCTCTTACTGTATTGTCTTTATTTTTTCAATTAGAGATTTGCTTCTGGGCATGTTAGGTACTTTGTTGATAATTACAGGTCCCTTGAGCACAGGCTTTGTATTTGAGTTAGTTTCTCTTTGTCAGATAGGGCTGTGTTTGAATCCAGAATTCCCTCACCTTTTGCCTAGCATCTAGCCTCTGTGGGTAGCCAAAGTTTCTTCACTTTTCACCCCACTGGCTCTTGGAGAAAGTTCAAGCTGGTTATGTTGACATGATCTGCTTAGTTGTTGATTAATGCAGTATTTAAGTGCTTACTAGCTAACCAGTGTATTATTGATGCTAACATTGTTTCCCTGCATAATGGGAAATTATTCTAATTAGGATGGAAAGAGAGCTATATTGTTTTTAGTTACACCCTTCATTGTTAAGAATGATTTCTGTATTGGAGAATAACAAAGTTTCTCAACTTGCAAAGCAAAGATCCTAAAACTATTTTCTGAAAACAGTGATTTGAATTTTCTTCATACTGTTACTTTTTTCCTTTCTCCAAATTAGGGCTCTTTGGTTTTTTTTTTTTTCTTCTGAGGGGCAATAGAACATGATTACATTTTTGTTTCTCTCAGATAGTATTATGCTGTTGTTTTGAAACCCTATTAGTATGATTTAGATAATGGGACAACAAAATTTTTTTTCATAGTAAAATCGCTTTGTTATGGTTATCTGGTTCTTTCCTTTTCCTTTTAACAAGACTCTCCTTTTTTTCTAATTTGATAAGAAATAACCTTTGAGGTACCAGTATACATAGATATATGTGTTAATTATATTGAATTGGAGGTTTTAGAATCAAAATTAAACCTGGGGATTTTTTCAGGTGAAACTCTATTAAATCCTGAAGTCAGGTGCAGTATAAAACTTGCATTGAGGCTAAATGTTTACGGAGCATTTTTTAGTGTTTGTATAATGAAAGTCTCTTCATTTCTTGGACTTAATCATTTGTTTTAGCAACAGGATAAAATAAAGCCAATAATGGCCTTAATTGAAAAGTAATGTAGTGTCCTAATTTAAATGATAACTGACTCACTATTTCCTGTTAGTGTGGTTACTTTCTTATTGGATACTATCTGTATGTTGGCATTCCAGCAGATTATTTTTCTTCAGCTTCAAGTACAGTCCTGTTTACTCTAACAGTATAGCATGTTGACCTTCTAAGAGTGTAAATAGATGTGGAACGAAGCCATATGACATCAGTAGATATGTACTTTCAATTTCGTGTACTGAAATACTGAATTTAATAATAGATCATTATCCAAGTTCTAATTTGAAAGCCTTTTCTCAGAAATCACAATTCTTACAGTCGACCAGCAGGTGGCAGTCTACTATTAATGGATTTTTGCTCTCATCTTTCAGGTTGCCCTTCACTAACATTCAAAAAAAAAAGCTGTAGTCTGAAGAAGGGCTTTGTTTTAATTATTTGCATAAAAGAATTGTACTTTCAAGCTTTGTGAGTTGCAAAAGTGCCCTAGTATTATGGCTTGCATTGAAACAGCGTGGAAAGTCTCTTCATTCCTTGGGCTTGATAATTTATCAACAGGATAAAATAAAGCCAGTAATGGCCTTAACTGAAAAGTAATGCCAGTGTTCTAAATTAGATGATCTTAAACTCAGAGAATTCCAGAGCTCAGTTGAGTCTGCACTTCTGCCCACAATGCAGGGGGATTGGAGCAGAATTTGTAGATTACTATGCATCTCACACGGGGACATGGAGTTCTTAGTCCTCTTTTGATCTACTCTTAGAAGCATTAAGGGTTTTACTAATTCTTCAGCACTCCCTGCCCTCCCATTTCCTAACTCTGACCTTAGTATTATTGCCCAAGTAACTCTATGGTGTACTGAGGCACTGGTGTTTGGTTATAAAGTAAAGTTGTCACAAGATTATGATGAGGACAGTTCGCTTCTGTTTAAACAGTGTGCAGCCTCTACCCCTCCTCCCCCCTGGGAATCCTTATCATGTGTTTGTCCTAAAAACACGATCCACCTGCCCTGTACTTTATATTATCAGTAATGTACCTTTTTATCTTGTGGATGATGTGCCTTTATATTTTGAGAAAAATTTCCAGTAACAAACTCGATTTGCATGGGCAGAAACTTGAGCAAATGCCAAACTAGCAGGGGGGCCATTATTCTGTTCTATAAATAAGTTTAAAAAAAGAAAGAAACACACACACTGAAACCTGTGAATCAACATGTTTTGGCCTAATTGAGGGGAAAAGCAAGATAGATAAATTTTGAAATGCAAATGATCACCTTCTGTTATTGAAGTATAGTTTCTGCCAACTTTGTGATCTTAGCATTTAAAAGTCATAGTCATTTCAACAATAGACTACCAAGGATGTCTGATATTGACAAGCTTCTGTAACAAAGTGAAGAGCGCTTTTTTTTAAAGTTGCCACTTCCTATATTAAAGAAAACACATCCAACAACAAAAAGACAAAAACCGTGGAGCTTTCTCTGTCTACATCTGTGAAAAAGCCAGCAAATAAATGGCTGCAGCTGCAGGCCCATCAAGAGGGTCTTGAGAATACGAATTCATTGATCAAACCCAACCCTGTTTTCAAAGTAGCAGCCCTTCCTTTTAGGTTCACTTTGTATCCTTAGAGTATCTACGATGATTCCCTAGAAAGATTTTATTTTACATAAATATCATTCATAGTAAATGGGTTTCTTTCATTCCAGAGAAACAGAACCGAGTTCAGGACGGGAACGAGCAAAGAAATAGTCCCCAGAGTAGGAACAGATTTTATAGCATGACAAAGTAAGTAGAATAGTGTCTAGTTTCCATATTAGGAGACTGTGAGAGACAGTATTAAGAGACTTTTAGACTGGTTCTCCTGTTGTTCAGTGTGAGAGACTACAGAATAAAAAAAGCTGGAGTGAATTGGTCGTCCTTCTCCCGAGGACTTCCTTGTAGTTACTCTGTTTTTGCTTTTTTTTTTTGCGCATGTCCGTGGATGCACAGGGTTTGTGTGTTGTAGCATTATAACGACTGCAACACGGAATGATTTTTTGTTACAGCATTTTAAGTATAAAGGAAAAATAAAATTTTAAAGTAGTTTTCTTTTATTAGTTTACCAGTCTTAACCAATCATTAAAAAGTAGGTAGAAAATAGACCTATATGCATTGAGCATATAAAATGCAAACAACTGTGTTTGAAAGTTTAATCTGTAATCTGAATGAGTTGAACTGTTTACACGTTAGATCTTATGCTAATAATATCACTTAGGTTTCCCATTCTAGTCTTAAAAAGTTGAGACAGTGTCCTATCAGCACGTGCCCTTGACCTTTAGTTTCCACCCCACTGTGAGTCTTTGTAAATACCCGAAATTTACACTGATATTTCTTCTTGAGTGCTTTCCAGGCTTGAATTTATAGGTGAATCTGTGTGCAAGTTGAAGTCCAAAATGCTCTTTACTGCACCCCCACCTCCGTGCTCCCAGATGTCAGAGGACAGCTTCGCTTCCTCTCTTAGGTGATTTCACACATGGGAACAGCTCACAGCTGACTGGGAAAGTGAAACATAGAAAAGCCAGGCGAAAGCTGTCTGCAAAATTCAGTTAGGGGCACGGCATTTGTTTACTGCCATTCTTTGCTGTTCCAGCCTGAATTTATCAAACAGTCCATGAATATATTTTTTGAGAATAGTTTCCCTTGCCCTACTCCGTAAACATGTTTTACACACAATTTGTTGCCTTTAAGGCATGGTACTCTGCATGATAGTTATGCGTTTGATTATTAGATCTGGGAGTCAGACCATGAATGGTTTAAAATATCATGAGGCCCTCTTAAGTTTAAAATTTAGAATATTGAGATAGAATTGGGAATTGCTAAACCTTGATATTTGTCCCATATTGGCCATTAGCTCATTGCACGGCCTTATTGTGCAAGTTTTTAGACTTTCTTGGCCTTACTTTACCAGTAATTAAACAGATTTGTGAGTACGAAAAAGATCACAGATGTCAAATCATCTAATTCCTTTCATATATGAAATTTGGTCAAAATTCAAGTCCATCTGAGTAGGTGAGGATTTTTTCCCCAAAAAATAAATATTGATTTTTTTGTCTAACATTAGTGGGGTTAAAAGAATTATCTGATGTGTAGACTTTATACACATATATTTTTACTCATAGAGTATGCACATAAAGAATATATTGTGAAAATGGGAGGTTTATGGAAAATATTTAGAGGAAAAATACCAAGGCAATTTTTTTGAGTAGGATGAAATTTGAATGCCAAGATTCTCAGCAAACAAAATTGTTTGAAGAAGATTCATTTAAATCTGAGAATTTGGGGTCTTGGGTAACTTCATCAAGCATGAAGAGTCTAATTTTAGGAATGTAAAATTGATAGAGAAAGTAAAAAAATATAGATGTATATTTTGGAATAATAATGATATAACCAGGAAATATATCAGTATCCCTGGTGTGGTCTT